TTGCTAGAGCATTCTTAGTTGGATTGCAGAGAGTGAACTTTTTCCAGATAACGCTGGCACCAGATTGCCGACCCCAGTATGGTGATAAGTTTGGTAAACCCCGAAGAATGCCGAGTTGGGCAGAGCTCGTGATGATCGGCATCACTACCACTGCACTACCCGCTCCACAAGCCCAATATGTAAGCATTAATAATATTATTCATTATCATGCCACAATCACTATTGCAACTATTATTATTACGATGTGTTAACATTTTATTTAGTGCCTGTTGCAATTTTTCACGGCACGGTGCTATGTGTGAAACAACCGCAATGATGCTGGGTTATTTGCAAAACTCCGTACAGCGGGTGTCTGCGGTGAGGAACGAACGAACTATTACCTTTCACGAGGCTAACATGTTCACCACCACACCATGCAGACCCTTCGTTTATTATTGCTACTGTTATTATTACTGTTACTATTTAAGTTGTTGTTATTATTTAATTATTATTATTGCTATTTAAAAGATGGACTGCACAAAAAAAGCATTAAGTTCGTACGAACAAGAAATGAGATCGATGCTCAAAATGAGGATCACAGAATCTTCACATTTAACAACATTCTGAGCTATTGCAAAAGAACGGGAACGCAATTGCTGAGCGGAATCTGAGGACAGCAAAATATTTATTTATTTAGAACAAAAAACCGTTAACGTAGCGGAACCTTTTTAGAAACCTACAACTGACGGTCTATAAGTATGAATTTCGGAACGGATCCAATTGGTGGGTTTGATAAAAGAACCGTAAATTACGTCGTCGTAGGACCACTACATTAGAAACGCAGCACGAACACCGCGAGTTCGATCGGTTTTTACAAAGCTTTTGATGTTTGGCGTTGTTAGAACGATATCAACTTTTTTTTCTTAGGCGACATGATAAGATATATCGTGCGGATTTCAGCACACCTTGCATTCGATTCGTTCCCTTACATCCACGCTTCACGAGGGTCTCCGTTTTTTTTAGTTTGGATTCTTAAGGATGTTTGGTCTACACGAATACCGCTGAATACACGTTGGGTCGCTTCTCCATGATATTCCGGGAATAACGATGCAAGTGCTGCCATGTGGGTTGGAGGGACTGAGTTTATCACAGACAAGTCTACTGCCAACTTCCCGATCTAGAAAGAAGGACAGGGTCGCTGCGCCTGGAGCTAATTAGGGCTTCTTGGTTGTGCACGACATCACTATCACTGCGCTACCTACGCTCTGACGTAAGATTAGGCGTATAAATCTACAAAGACAAGCAAACGACCGATCCAAGAACAGAAGACCACGCTTCCATATGTGAGGTCTCCCATATCGATGTCAACCAACGGTTTCTTTTTCACAGAGGTTGAATAGCGAAATCAGGAATGTTTCGTATAATCTACAGTGTCTTGATGGCGATGTTGATAAAATAAAAAAGGATAAAGCTGTTGGCGTTGATCAGTCTCTGAGGGATGCGCCATACATTCGACTTTATTAAGCATCGATATATTTATTTATATGATCTTATAAATTGATATCCTTCAGCTGATGTGAGGTTGGTATAGGTGTTCGTTGCTGTTGTTGTTGCTGTTGGTGTTATTGGTGCCGTCGGTCGATGGCTGACGTTTCGGCGATTTCGCCTCCCTCAAAACCTGGACGTATTTTATATAATACTTTAATTATGAAAAGTGGAAAGAAAGCTAAAGTATTAATTAAGATTAAACTTTTAAATAGATGCTATATTGATCAGAAAGGCTACTCACCGTGATGCTACGAATGGGACCGGCCTATGCGTTGTTCACGTGGGGTCGCGAGCGACACACCCACGGATCAAAATACCATTTTGAAATAGGGCGTTAGGTCACGCGTGATAGTGAGGCATTCGTCTTTCCGGTTCATCCTTGGCTTTTTGAAATTTATGCAAAACGCCTCAAGACTTTTGCGTGTTGATGTTTCCGATTCCTGCGCTAGGATCTGCACAGTCATTTCAAAATCATCGCCATTGTGCTTTTGTGCTCTATGTGTACCTAGAGGAGTGCTTAGACGAATTTTAACTTTCCCTTCTAGGTGTTCTTTTATGCGGACACAAAGTGGTCTACCCGCTACCCTAAGGCATTTCTCACCGCATGCCTTACACGGGATCAAGGATATTGCACCAGATCTCATGCAACCCGGCCCTCCCGTCAGCACAGATCACACAGTTCTCTGAGCTGCGCAAACGATCGTAGAGGCGGTTGCGAACTAACTGAGGCGTAGGGTATTGGGTGGGAAGTCAATAACCGCTGCATAGCTCTCAAGACCACTTTTTCTTAAGCATCTCTTAGTGGCGTAACTTATCTCGCTTGGAATGAAAAGTGGTTGAAAATGGATCTTACTTACGCCCGAAGCATTATTTTAGGGAACAACCCTGCACTTCTGTCTGACCCGAGTGGCTTTTGCTTCCTAGCCACTGAAAATGGCTATTTTTCGTGTAAGGTTTTGCGATTCCTTCATTTCCTCTTCTCTTGTGTACACATTTCTAGTAGATGTTTTTGATAAGTGCTTTTTTCATCTGTGAAAGATGAGAGGAAAAATAGTGAACTAGAACGTTTTTGCTACTTGGCTTGCGATACCACTTTGTTATATAGCCACTTTCTGAGAACTTTATTTGGATGTTTAAGAATGGAAGCCAGTTCTCGGTAGGTTTTTCTCGTGTAAATTTTATATACTCTGACTGTCTGTTTAACAATCTAAAGCACTCATCCATCTGTTCTTGTGTGGAACAGACGATGAAGCAGTCGTCTACGTATCGACAGTAGAGTAAGGGTCAGCGATCGAGAACTCGACCTTCCACCTAAGACATGAAAACGATGGCAAGGTCTGGTGCTAAACGCTGTCCCATGGCCCACCCACTAATTTGGGCAAAATATTTTCCAGGCCACCTAAAGACTAAACAACTAAGACACTGGTTTAAAAGAGTCAATAGTTGCGCAATCGACAGCCGGCACATTTTTGTTTTCTGTTCGCGCTTTTCCACCGAATAATTAAAGTATTCTTATACAAAATACGTTCAGGCTCTGAGGAAGGTGAAATTGGCGAAACTTCAGCCATCGACCAACAACACCGACAACAGCGAAAACGACAACGAAGACCTATACCAACTTCTCATCAGCTAAAAAAGATCAGTTTGTAAGATATAAATAAATATATCAACTATCTATGCCGAGGTTTATAGAAAGTCCGTCTTTTGATTCGCTAAGCAAGCAATGACTCGCGATGGCGAACCGATACATCGAGCCAGTGCTACTATCCTCCCAGACAAGTCTGGTATCAATTTGCCGACCCCGGAGGGATGGAAGGCTTGGTGGTTCATCGGCGCGGGGATCGATTCCATGTGTGTTGCTAGGCGCCTCCGACCACTGCGCCACACGCGCCATACACACGCGCCATCCGCATGATGTGATGGTGAACACATTAGCCTCCGAAAAGGGTAATAGCGTGTTCGTTCCCCACCGCGTACACATGCGGTCCAGATGTTGGTAGACAACAGAAAATTTGTACACAAAAAAGTATCCACAGGCTTGAAACTAATCCGGTTATTCATCAACACATAGAAATATTATTGATTATTTATTCAAATAAATAATACATAAAAAACTGCGAATAGAAATAGAAACGAGATCGAGACCGTCGGAACGAGTGCAAATATGTGAACAACAGCATTTCAAACAGCGATTGATCCGAGTTCCCCAAAGCAAATTAATATAAACGCTACAAAGAATTTACAAGTACTGATGGAAGCTAGTGTTGAATTTCTGATCTGAAGATTAGTACTCGCATTCTTTAATACTCTCAATAGAGCGCAAACTAGCAAAGTAATTTTACAAATGTAAATTACAACGATCTTCTGTGCGAATACGACATCGTGCCTTCTATTCCCTACACCGGAAATGGTCACGGTTAAACTGTGAAGAGTTCACAGCAAAAAAGACAAAGAAGAAAGCTGATCATAGTCATCCCTAATAAAAAAGGAAACATCTGCGATGTGAACGGTAATTTAAACGGAATTCAATAAAACTAGATGTTTACCTGATGTCTAGCATTCTAAAGGTTCACACATCGGAAAATATGGAGCAAACTAAGTCTTTCGCTGTGAGTACAGTTCAATAGACGCTATTCAATGCTACTTTAGCTCATTGTGAACGTCACTGATGCGTTACAAAAAATACTAAAAGGAAAATGTCCTAAGAATAAAAGTATTCGATTGCTACCGCTCGCACACCAATCACTACGGATGAGCGGTTTGGCTTCGTTTTCTTTAAGTTAAAAAAACAACAATGATATTAATTAAAGTTCTAAAGACGGCACCCGTTATGCGATCCCATTTTAGTAAGCTGACTTACTATCAGGTAGCTCCGGTGCCACCTTTCGACTCCAAAGTCCGGATTTGAGTTTTTGTATCAGATTCAGTGCATTATATGAATGCTCCTTTTCATCGAAACTTTGGTTGGAATCTATCTGAGAAATGATCGCTAGTTCGCTGACTTTCTTCACAGTGGCTGTAAAATTGTCACTTATAAGCTTCAGAAGAATTCTCGACAGCTTTTTTATACTGTTCTTAAGAGATTTGTATTAGTAATACAACACAACGTAGTTTAACTAATAAGTTTCTTACTATCCGGATTACAGATGAGCACGAGAAGATAACTATTGTGCGAAACTATAAGTTGTCGCAGGAAGGAAGACCTCTGTACGGTCACTCAAATTTAAATACTATTTCACGACCTCGTTCGATTTCATCAAAAATACAAGGGCTCATCAAATGAACTTATTTGCCGCGTGGTACTGAGTAATAAGTCAGACGACAATTAAGTTGGTCGTCAGGGACCCACTCAGTAGGCTACAAAGCCGAACCCCTCAACACCCGTTCACAACACTTCACGAATGAGAAGTAATGTGGACTCGTATTCATTAAAGCTAATGGTCCTGTATGCTACGAAGAAAATAAAAACACCTCTATTGCTCACATTGGTTAGATATGCTCAGTATTGCTGTAAGAATTGCTGGCATAACCACGAGTCCATGAAACATTCCAAGTGAGCAGACGGTGACAATCGTCTTGAAGAACACCATCACCAAATACGATGGCTTAAGCGCAAGTGGTAAAATCGCAATGATTGTTGAGAAGCCAACCTAAAAATTCATAACTCAATGATCATCTAGTTTAATAGTTAACAAAATATGAATAGTAAACAACGAAAAGCTTATAAATGGAAATCTGTACCCACCTGTAGTACTGGCCATCCCATATATAATAACGTTTCTTCAATTCGTAAAGCGGGATCCTTAAAGAAGAGAATATCTAGTTGGCAAATCATGCAGTAACTTTCAAGATCGACTTTTTATTAACTTCGGCATTGACCAAATAATTCTCTATATTCTTGTTGAGCAAACATGTTTGTTACCTCATTCTCTATTACGGTGGAGCTGACGTCGGCGGATTTCGCCTTCTTCAGAGTCTGAGTCTGAGAAAATCACGTTGACTGCAATCTATCCAGTCAAACACCTCCATAACCAAACACGGAACATAATAAACCAAGATTGCAATCACCATGAAAATCCATCAACCACGAAGATCCTCCAAATTTACATCTGGCTTTGTTTGCTGCATGAGGATTTTCATTTCATTTTGAGTGCCGTAGAATGCTGGTCGAGCAATTTTCCTTGGAGTCCTGTGATAGCTGGGCTGGAGCATTCCTAATTGGACTGCAGAAAGTGATTTTTCACAGACAAGTCCGTTACAACTTTCCCCACCCCATGGGGATAATAGGCTTGGTTGGCCCGGACCAGAGTCGAACTACCAACATGCTAGTGATGACGGGCATCACTATCACTGTGCTATCCACCCTCTCTGCTTCGCATTAAAACATGATAACAGCTAAGCCACTCTGTGTCCGTATAAAAGAACATCTAGTCGGCAAACTTAAAGTTAAACAGAATACTCCACTAGGTAAAGGACCCAGAGACACAACGAGGAAAATTATGGAGTAGACATTACCATCATCACATGGAAATCGAAATCACCAGCGCGCAAAACTCTCGAGCCATTCTGGATAAATTCCAGGAATCCAAGAACAACCGCAGGGAAGAATACCTCACAACCATAGGTGATTTCACACAGTATTTAAGGCTGATATTTTAATGTGGGAGGCACATTACGCATTCACGTGAACTCTGTATGGTTAGTTTCCACGTGACATATATCCAGTGGACTCATAGAAAGCCGCGAGTGTGCAAAAAAAAAGATATTTCCTTTTCAGTGCGACAGAAATCTTGGAAAAATCTTAGTACGCTTCCTGCCTTGTTATGGAGGAGTTTGGCTGGGTAGATTGCAGGCAACATGATCTTTCGAGGTTCTGAAAAAGGCGAAATCTGTCGGAACATCAGCTCTCCTGTAATAAAGATTAAAGTAACCCCTCGTGTTTTCTCGACAAGAATGAAGACAATGTCTCGTGGTGAAATTCGGTACTTGATCTTTGCTCTAAAGATCTAACAAGGTTTTTGTACCTTTTGCTTTGATTTGTAGAAATGGTAAGCAATATGACTAGTGAAATCCACTGAGAAACCGACCGCCATTAGTAGAGCTGTCATCGATATCGGATCAAGGTCTACGCCTAAAATTTCTCTAATTGATCTTAATTTAGTAGAATGCTATGATCTAAAACTTTTTAAACCTAACTAAAGCCGTGTATTCGAGATTTACAGTCAGATTTCCCGCCCAGTTCATAAATTATGCGAACTAGTAAGTGCAACTACCTTAGTGCTTCCAACAATTTACACGGAATTAACAGGAGAATAGCTGAATGTTTTTCTCATTCGTAAAAGATGAATCTGTAACTATCTACTGTTTGATATAATTATTTATGTGACCTTATAAACTGTTCTTCTTAAGCTGACGCGAGGTTGGTACAGATCTTCGTTGTCGTTGTCGCTGTTCTTGATGTTATTGACCGATGGCTGACGTTTCGGCGACTTCGCCTTCCGTCCCGCACGTAACATCACGGCTCTGAGGAAGACGAAGTCGCCGAAACGTCAGCCATCGATCAATAACATTAAAAACAGCAACAACGACAACGAAGATCTGTACCAACCTCGCGTCAGCTTAAGAAGATCACTTTATAAGATCACATAAATAATTATATCAACTATCTATGCCGAGGTTTATAGAAGGTCGGTCTTTCGAGTTATCTACTGTTTCAACACCAACTGAGGACGGAGGTAGTGTCTATTGAACTAAGAGAAGCCGAATACCAGATAACAAACACTGCCAGTAGTGCCTTAATGCATTGAGCCAAATTACATTTAAAATTGTTTATAGCACTTAGTCAAAAAAGCGGCAACCATTTCTCTTTGTCTGACAATACCGCACACAACATATTCCCTAAACTCTTTAAATTTTGTGCCACAGTTAGGGTAAACTGCCTTAGAACGTACCTATCAAGACGATCACTCCTTACTAATGGCAAGTTTTATGGCCAAACCGATGTTAGCCAAGTATTCCTACAATGTTCCTTTTTTCCATAAATTTATTTGTTATTGACCGCATTGCACTTTCAGTAATGGTCTCAAAATATTGCCAACTTATCATCACACCACAATCGCGATTATTTCCAGACAAAGTTGTAAAACTCCTGTCCTTCAAATACATGTAAGAAACGGCCACTGCAGTATGCATGAAGTTCTCTAATTCAAGCCCCTCAAAACTAAAACTCCTCGAAAGCAAATAATTATTCTTCAAGATTACGTCTTCACACGCGTGTAGCACAGTGGTAATAGGCGCCCTGCAATACACGTCGATTCGATCCTGCGCGTCAGGTTCACCAAGCCTTCCATCCTTCCGGTATCGGCAAATTGATGCTATACTTATCTGGGAGGACAATAGCACTGACTTCGTATACTGATGGGCAATCGTAAGCCACTGTGTAGGCCAGTTAGGCACTTGGTCTCCTCTACGAAACTTAATGAAGCCCAATGAATGGCATATCGCCCAGGGTTCGATCAACGGTGAAAATTTTATCATTTTGACCTTCATTTGTTTGTTGCAGCAAAACTAATCTCTTAAAGATCGAACCATGTATTATTGTTGAAACCGAAATGAGTTGAACTAGTGGAAAAGCTGGCTATGCGCACTCACTTAAATAACAGTTTCTACTGCAAGTTTTCGTCTACATTAACGTGAGCAGCAACTTTACATAAGTTTAACACCACTTACCCCATAAACTAAGCAATCCGAGTATTCCGAGAGTAACTGAGAGCACTGAGAAGCATGCTGTAACAATACAAGTCATACTCGGAATGAAAACAAAGCATGCAACAGCTGTGCAGAACAGCGCAGTCGCCATCGAACCCCATACTGTTGCGTCGATTGCCATTGTCTATAAAGCGAAACTTCGATAACAGAGCAGTGAAGATGCTAAACAACAGTGAAACGACACCAAAATGTTAATTTTTCAACATGCACTCTTTCACTGATAAGCTAGCAAGAGATTGTAAGAAAGACAACCTCTTGTAAGCTTGTCAGTGAAAGATGAGTTATTATCACCGTACAGACACTATCAATAACAACTATTCCATTTAAGAAAGCATCGTAGGGTGTGATTGCTATCTTCGAGCAGTGTTCCACTGAAGAATATCCGACTCGATGCGACAACGAAGAAACCACTTTAAGAGTAGGAACGACTGTGGACATTGACTCGGACGATCAATTGTGAGGGAGATGAAGACGTCGAAATATTAGCCGAATAAAATTGTTTGACCGTGTCAGCTTATTGATCAAGAAATATATATTGATTAGTCATACCGAGGTTAAAGGAAAGTCGTTCTCCGAAACAATATTGTCCTTTTTTCAAGATTTCTGCATTAATAAGCCTCACTCTATAAGTTGGATAGAAAGCCTTCGCACTTTCTTCGATGTGAATCTTCAAAATCAGAAAAAATAATGGAGAATGTTTTGGTAAAATTAAATTGTTTATACAATTGTTCAATCAATGAAGAGGTTAATAGGAAGTCGCACGTGGGAGTTAAATTGTTCATTTCATTTTTGATTTGAAGGAACCGTATTCAAATCTTTAGTGAGGTGTGTCTACCGTTCCATTCTTTTTCTCTTATCAATTAACCAAAAAGCCCTTCAAACTTTTGTGTGTGGTTTCAGCTACAGTCTTAGCATTTCCGCCTTTGTTATAAACGTCTTTGAATACTGGTCAAGTCATTTCTTCATGGAGACCTAAGACAGCCGAACTAGAGCTTTCGCACCAAGACTTCGAGGAGCGAACTATTCCAAAACGCACCACCATGCTTGTGCTTACCATCCAGTCATTTGTCTGACCTAGTAAATCCGCGATCGTACATAAGTAGTAGTACCGTTAAACTGACTTATAATTCAAAAATTTGCAAGGATATCAAAATGAGCCTCACTGTGGAGATAATCACTGTGCAAGTCACCTACAAAAAGATGTACTGTGGAAAAAAATTGATTCCTGCAAATAACACACGCGCGAAGAAAACTGATTGTCACATTTCCAAAAAACATGAAACAATGTTCAAGACTGCATGCAATTTTGCCCAAATCCTCGCAATACTAAACGTTGGTTTCCTTGCCTTCTGGCCAGACTTGACCTAGCGTGAAGGAGTCCATTTGTTCGTTTTTCTCATACACGCACACGAAATAATTCCCTATCAACACATAAAACCCGGGTAAAAAAGACATCCATTGAGCTCAATGCACTCCGTCCACTTTGCCCCCTCTCCCACTCAATGTGTGTTATGCAGCACACGACGAACAATGTGTTAGGAAATAGAAAACATGCTGGAGTCCTCTAAAGTCGTTCTTCTAAGTAAAAAATCGTTTCAATAAAAAAGCATTCTGCGTACCTGATCTATAAAAGGCGAGTGCTCCGAGTACGCATAGATCTGATAGTCGGGGTATTTAGCGGCTATGCGACGCCAATCTTTCACAGCAGGAATTAATTCGTGATATTTGATGTGCTGAAATAAGCACTCACTAACAATTGTGTAGTATTTAATAATTCCCAGGTACATTTGACAACTCTTGTTAGGTATCTCTTTCGTCTATAAAAAGCCATAGTTAGATTTCAGGAAAAGACCTTAAACAAGAAATTGGCTTTTATTCGAAAATTCCGGCAGCAAAAGTGAGAAAGATGTTCAAAGAAAATCTTCACAACAGTGTCGCTGATAGGTTACGTTTAATGTTTAGGACAAGTAATTAAGAATGATCTTAGTGGATTCTTTACATGTGCAGAACTTCCTCAAGAAAACTAGTCATGTCTCAGTACAATGCCACAAAGTACAGTCCCGGTTTTAGAGCCACACCATTTTTTCTCTGAACTTTCCTACTAACTGATTAAAGCCACATTTCAGAAAAAAAAGCATAACCTCAGCCAAAAGTGATGCGTAGACTTTTTGCCCTACTAAGAATATTCTAATGACTTTGCCTTAATTAACACACCACATCACAAACAGATGAAAAGTGCCTTAAAAAACTTAAAAATAACTGGAGAATATGAATTATACAGCTATTTTATAACTTCTTAATTCACGGTGGTTGGAGGCGCCACTGCGACACACACACGTGGAGTCGACTCCCGCGCCCATGGCCCACCAAACCTTCCATCTCTCCGGGGTCGCCAAATTGGTACCAGAAGACTTATCTGGGAGGATAGCAGCACTGGCTCGACACATCGGTAGGCCACTGCGAATCATTGTAAAGGCCAGACAGATATGCATTCAATCACCTCCAACGATACTTAATGAAGTCGAATACATGGCGCGTCCCTCAGGGTTTGATCAGCGCCGAAGTTTCATCCTTTATTGCTTAAATCTACGGTAAATTACCGCCAATGAAAATCGAAGCCTTGCTTTTCCTGACACTTATACATAAAAACACAGGCAAATTTCAGTGCAAATACTATAACAGAAGAACTTTTTCACGGTTGGAATGCACGCACAAAAATCGCTTTTACGCCTTAATATGAAGACGCCAGAAGTCTTAAGAAAAAGTAATAAGTTTTTAGTAAACGCAACAAATAGCAAATAAATAGCATAAACAAGTCTATAACTGGTACGTAAATGGTACATCAAACAGGAAACAATGTAGTAAATAGTAAATCAATGGCAGTTACAATGAATGATAAATAAATAATCACCTGTATAACATTTCGTCCCGTTGATCGCCGACTTACTCGAGCGGGCGCCAATAAAACTTTCATTTCTCCATGCCGCGCGAAAAAAGTGTCCAAAGGGGTCTACACCCTCTGGGAACTCGTTGAGCATCATATCTTTCTTTTACAGTTTCAGTGAAGAACTCTGACCATCGAGTCCGTGGTGTTCCTGCAGTACGTTTGACATCGCAAGAAACCCGCCCACTTACGGCTCTTGCCAATCGGTTGTCATTCGTACGCATTATATGTCCGGCCCACCTTATCTTGGACTGTTTGACGTGAAGGGCGGCATCAGTGATTTTTCATCGCTCACGCAGGTTAGAGCTTCAGATCTCTTCCCTTACTCGTGTGACACGAAATACTCCTAGCATCATCATTTCGACTGCGCTTTCCATGAGTGATTTTTATCGTGTTTACGCATCGATCAGGTTTCTGACGCACACGTTAGGGCAGGGAGAATCTCAGAGTCGAAAAAGTGGGCATAGAGTCCGGTGTTCTTTGTTCTTTTCACTACACCCTCGATGCTCTTGAAAGCTCTCCGAGCCGCTCGTTTCCTTCTGCCCAACTCTGGAGCTAAGTCGTTCATCATGTTGATTTCCCGACGTAGATAGACATGAATGGAGCATTCAGAGATATTCCTTCCTTTGAGCGCGAATGGAGCATACGAAACCATTCCGTTCCACATGAACATCATTTCTGTGAGATTTAGTCGAATAGCAATCTTTCTACAGGCTTTATCAAAGTCGGCAAACATACGTTCCGCTTGGTCAATGTTTGGTGTTATGAAAACGATGTCATCAGCAAAGCGAAGATGGTGTAATTGTCGGCCATCGATTTTCACTCCCGTGGTGTCCCATCTCAGTGTTTATGTGACGTTCTCGACACTGTCGGAAAATAAGGTTGATGAGTTGTTATCGCCTTGCCTTTTCGCTCTTTTGACATCGATGTCAATATCGATTTAGAATGGTGGTATTTTGGTTGTCCTTGGTTCTCCAGAGATTCCATGATTGCTTCTTTGTTAACTGAGTCGAAAGCACAATAGAGTTAGTTTTTAATTACTGTCTATTCTTTTTATGGCAGGGTTGATGTGAAATATACCCACAATGGTGTGGTGGCGAACGCTTTAGCCCCCGCAGAGGGTAATACCGAGATCTCGACATCAGACACTTGCGGTCTGCAGTTTTGGAAATATCTCAGCACAGCTGTGAGTCAAAAGCTTTCTTTAAACCTATTAAAGTAAAATGTAGCTGTCTTTTATACTTTCTCGATACTTCAAAGAGTCTTGTTATCGTGTAATTGTGCTCCATTGTACTGAAACCCTTTCGAGACCTCTGCTTGCTCTCGTGGCTGTTCTTCATCAACTGTTCTGTCATTTCTGTCTAGAATGGCTTTCGCAGGCGAAAGACAGTAGGCAGATTGTGGGTGATAGTTGCCGACATCATGGAAGTCACCCTTCCTCAATAATAGCACTGTTTTGCAGGTTTGCCACTGAGTAGCAGCTTCGCATTCTGACAGGTAACGTGTGAAGAGCCGAGCCATGTGTTTATGAGGACTGGCGTAAGGTTCCTCAGGTGCACAGATCTCATCATGTCTGGATCTGATATTGTTCGATTCGTCATCAACGAAATAGCATGTCGCATTTCGCTCCCCCTTCCGAAATAAACCATAATAAATAAAAAATAAATAATGAAACGAATTTTCCCAATGGTTTACCGCCTCATCGTGCCTAGGAAGCGTTCCTGGATGTCAGGTTGTGATGAACAGAGGGGAACCTCCCAGCAGAGTATCCAAAGCTGTGAACTAGTCCGGCGTTTCCATCAGGATCCCCAGCTAAGAGTAAAGCAATACATAGGAGGGCCACCGCCCTGGTAACAAACTGGTCGCGTGGTGGCAATTCTCCCCATGATCCACAATGGCGGCGACTGCCTATGATGGTGACGACCTATGGTAGGTTTTGGCCTGGCTGACCTCAGGACTCCAAGAAAGCACAATGGCTAAACCATCAAAACTTCGAAAGAGTGGAGATTGTGCTTGGGCCAGCACAACCAGTGAAGACGGCCTATCCAAGTGTCCAAGTAAGTAAGCAAGTGATGCAGCAATTAGTATATAGTATATAGTAAATAATAAATTTCAACGACAATAAACCAATAAGCATAGTCGATTTGAATGCAAGAAAAATATGATGGGTATTCTCACAGCCAAGCAGCATTTCACTTCGGCATAAGTAACCATTAATTCTTAGGCTAACACGAGGTTAGTACAAAGCTATAAATTGAATGATTATAAATAATTATAATTAATACAATATTTGAATAAAACTTTCATATTAGTTTCGTGTTAGATTAATAATCTAAGAGAATATTTGACAAATATTGCTCTAAGGGCTAAAAGTTTTACATCTTTAGACTGATAAACTAACTCCGTGGAAGTTGGTCACGAAGAAGAACGCCGTGATACATTCAGGACTGTTCTCAAAGCAAGCGGTCTCGTTGTACTTCACGAATGTGGACATGTAGAAGTACGTGGCCGACTGCAGGAATATTGGTAACTCCTTGTATGTAAATTCTTCCGTCTCACCGTAGAACTGAAAAGGATAAGCGTATTTGGCTTTTTTTGGCTTTATTCAATGTTATTTTGCTACAGTATGAAATATTTAAAGGAATTTAAGCTGTCATCTTTTCGGCATTCATCCACACTTCTCACATCTAACATTATTTCAATTCTTCGTGCTCTTATTGAGCAAAGGCGAAGTGTTACTGTATTCTTTATTAGCGGAAAAGCTGAAGTTTCGGCGCATTTTGCCGAAATTACGCTTCCATGTGAACACTGTGTGGTTGGTCTCCACATGACATACCCAGTGGGAGATTTATACAAAGCGAATCTGAGAAAAGCGAAATCCACTGAAACGTCAGCTTTTCTGTCAATAAGGAATAAGGCAATACCTCGTGTTTGCTCAGTAAGAGTATAAAGAATTATCGGATCAATGCCGAAGTTAATAGAAAGTCGGTCGTGGGAATTGCTACAAGACGTGTCAGCATTCCAATGTTAGCAATCAGTAAAATCATTGAGTCTCTAGCTATGATAGGATACATATTACAAGATCGATAAGTCAGCTATATTCTAATTTTGTGGATCGTCTCAATTCTGATAGGGATCCGCCCAACCACTAAAGCAACAGTGGTTCCGTTTCAAAAACATGTACGGAAAAGGTGCAAAGAACTCAAAAAACCAAAGAACTGTCTATATTGGCTTTATTAAACTTGTATCACCAGCATAATATCGAGTTTTTCTTTTGCTTTTGTCATGTACTTACGCTTAGAAATTCCTCGTAGGGCGGAATCCATGAAAACGTGCTCTCTGATCCGTAGCTGAACGTCGCGTTTTCAAATTCACGTATGATTTGCTTTATAGCTGAAATTATTCAGATTCTCCACAAATCGATGCTAATGTATACTGTTGTAGTCATCTAACAAAACGTTCTTAGGTTAGAATCGTAAAATCGGATATGTTCTCAGATTAAGGGATGAAAGAACACCGTCCATGACCGGTGAGAAAAAGATGGAAGATTATTGTCTCTGCCATTCAGTACCAGTAGACGATCAGTTTTTGCTGGGATGTAACTGCCTTCACTAATGAGTTAAAAGACTAGAAATAATAATAAAACAAGTAAGAGTATTTCAAATAAGTTTTCCCAGCATTAACACTACTATAATAGAATAACACGGGCGCGTGTGGCACAACAGGTTGGAGACGCCACTGCGACACACACGTGGAATCCATCCCCGCGCCCATGGCCCACCAAGCCTTCCATCCCTCCGGGATCGGAAAGTTGGTACCAAACTTGTCTGGAAGGAAAGCAGCACTGGCATCATTGAACCCTTGCTGCACAACTCAGACAGCTTTTGATATTACCAAGCTACTTGAAAAAATAAGGAAAAGTATGCTTGAAAAAGATTAAAACTACTAGTAAGGAATTAGTGTAAACAGTAAACCACGAGTCTGATGTCTAAAATAAGAGTGCAAAATTCAAAGCGAAAGAACGAGACCAATTTTTCCCCGCAGACCGAATTTTATACATTTCGATTACATTATGTTCTTAAATCGGCGTTAACAATAAGCATAACGGTTATAACAAATTATATAAACATCCATGTGAAAAGGAAACCGAAATCTAACGCACTTCTTAGTCGTCTAGGATCACGCATATCTCCTGGGTTCATTATGAAGACGCTAACAGGTTGCATTAGCTTGAACGATGCTTCAAACTGAACTTGGAACTCCTGCAGATACGAATCTGGGAGAGACATCTTCTCGATAGAGATAACGGTTCGCAATTGAAGTATGCCGATAGCATTAGCGTAATAGTATCCACACATGAGCACAGCAAGAACGATTCTGAAATGAAAACCATGTGTCCCAAAAAGGAAACACAACTCTTTAGAACAACTTGTTATAATTTTAACTTATTATTTACTGCCAACAGTTTTTCATGGCAACGTATGTTATAAAATATCACTTCAATGATGCTAAGATATTCGCAAAACTCCAAACCGCAAGTGTCTGCGATGGCAAACGAACGCGTTATTACCCTTTCCGGGGTTAACGCGTTCACCACCACACCATGCGGGTCCTTCAGGGGACAGGCGAAGCGAAGCACCCATACGGTATGATGGTGAACGCATTAGCCCCCGGAAAGGGTAATAGCGCTCTCGCTTCCCACCGCAAATACCTGCGGTCCGGTGTTTTTGCAAATATCTCAGCATCATTGTTATATTTCGCAACACACCCTTCCGTTAAAAGTATAGGCAATTAATGAGTTAATTAATAATTGTGATTATAACTACAGCTTCAGCCTAACAGGGTTCATTGCTGATTTATGCCCGCCAGATCAATCCTGCTGACGGGTGATTGCTGATGGCACTGACAGATAGAACTAGCTGAGAGACAGGCGAAACGAAGGGCCCGCGTGGTGTAGTGGTGAACGCGTTAGCCCCCAGAAAGCGTAATAGCTCGTTCGTTCCCCACCGCATACACCTGCGGTCCAGAGGTTTACAAATATCTCAACTTATTATATATCAAAAATCTTATCGACTTGGAATTTTCCTGAACTGTTAGCAAGTTAGGGATATGATTGACACTCCCATTGTTTTAAATTTTCCCATTTCTTTTTCATTGACTCTAAACTCATGTTATGCCCTTGAAGCGCAGGTAGCGCAGTGGCTAGAGATGCTGTGCAATAGGCAATGATACTGTAACCTTGCTAATTTGTAAACCTAGCGCCTTAATCATATTATACGTCAGAGATTGTTCGTTACACCCAAAATACCAGCTAGTAAAATGATAACGGATGAAACGTTCGATTGAACGATGTTAATCAATCACTTAGGAAGGCGCTACGTACTGGACTTCATGAAGCATCGTCAGAAGTGATTTAATGTATGCCGGTCCTAAACAGTGATTTACAATTGAATACGAATTTAGAAAATTAGAGCTTTATCCTCCTAGATAAGTTCGATATGAATTCGCTGATTCTGGAAGGATGGGAAGCTTGGAGAGCCCGTAGCACGGAATCGAACAAGCAAGCAACTAGCTCAGTGTGTATTGCAGAACACCTCTCAACCAGTGCGCTATACAAGCCATCGCCAGCTAATACTTAACTAAACTTTTGTACCAAATATTTATTTTAATGTTATTAGGTACATACATTTGCAAACTCATTCATAAGGAATTGTTACACGTACCTGGCTTTCCATGTAGAAATGATACGTGAATATCGTCTTATGAGAACACTTTGCGCACTGACAATCCATTCAACAATAGTTGAACGATCCTAAATGACAGATGTTTTCAACATCGTATACCCGACCATCAATACATTACTACCTGGTCGCACCTTATTTATCATTTTATATCGCATGATATCACTACGGATAACCATGGAAGTAACTTTTACTGCTATACAATTCGAAAAACAAACGATATTTTGTATTCATTTCTTAAATCGGACTTTCTATTAACTTCAGCATTGATCACTATTTCAACATTTTCTTCATGAGCAGTTACGAGCATAAAGTCAATATTTATCAGTCAGTGCCCAAGGTTTCGACCGGCTTCGACTCCTTCACAGCCGCTTCGGTCTGGAAAGCTCACCGGTTTTGGGTTTAACATCGTAAGTTTCGAGTCACACGGTAGGAGATACACCTATTCGTCGAAAATTCTAGTCAAATAATGACAACATAACAGAGTCAATAGGCTGTCCATAATGGTGTTCATCAAATGATCAACGCCGTCAGCACAATTCATGAAGAGTACTTGTTACGTCAGAATTGTTTCGTAAGCAACATATATCTTTTTATTGACAAGCTAACATGAGGTTGATGAAAAACATTATTTTGCTAACGTTTCGGTGCTTTCATCGTCTTCAGAGCCAGATTGATCCTAGTCGATTGTCCACTGTTGTTCCTTTTTCCGATGAGGACCTTCGTGACCGCATCGACTCGATTCCAGTGGAGTACCTCCCAAAAGGCGACAGCGAAGAAGCGAAATGTTAGCCCAATAAAGTTTTTATCGAGTTCATGCTAGCTTATCAATGAAAAGATGGATCTTGACTAGTAGTCCTGAGGTTGAACAAAGTTGGTCTTTCAAAAATTATTTCGTAAGCATTTCTGACGTAGTAAAGTCTATCGAAGTGAACTTGCCTTAGGATTCGCCTTTAAGCAGCATAGAAAACTCTGAAGTCCTTTACGTTCACGATAACCGCTTGCAGCCAGTACAGCGCTGAACATAAGTAGTTGGTAGAAGAAACATATAGCAATGGCTAACGCAGCGTAGAGTGAGAACGAGCGCACAGCTGGCGTTTGCGATGTCATGCCGATGATGAACGCCATTGTGTTTGTGACCGAGCTGAAATGTATTCTGGTGAATGTTAAGACACTTTTGATGATCCAGGAAAAGTTTCATACTTGGCTACAAAGTAGTAGCTCACGTGTAGTGAAACCAATAGTCAATCCACAAAAAGAGCAATTAAAATGAGGTTTTCTATAGGAAACGGCTCAAATATGTCTTGCCAAAATAGGCCATTAGCGAAGTTTGTTGAAACTATTTTAGTCAATACCTAATCAAAATACTTGGTCCGGATTCTTCTAACGTCAACGCCAAGCGTTTCGGTACTTCATCGTTCACGTCTGTTCGATCCCAAGCTCTTAGCATAATAAAAACATCATCAACGCCGACAGAAAGCACCAAGAAGAACGCCGCCACGATGATCGCCTAGAATTCGTCAGTGAAGTGAAATCGGTAGAATTTTAGCAGTAATAATAATCAGATAAGACTCACAACGAAAATTTCTCAAAACTGGCTTTCCGAAATAAACCGCGAAAAAAATCCACTCGATTAAAGAACTACCTGAAACATCCATCCGCACCAACTCAACAATCCAGTTGTACACAGTAGAGCCAGCAACGGGATCAGACACCCAATCAGTGACTCCCATGGCTTTGCACGTGCTGGATCACGCCTGAAGTTTTTGAAAGAATAAAATAGAATCCTTGCTTTTGCCAACACGACAAAAATTTAGTGATAATGATTTGAAACTAAAAGTCTGAAACCACAATTACTTTTGTGCTAAAGAATCACGCCTTATTTGTCCTTCACGAGTGTTTTTCTCAAGTATTCACACATTTTATGAACCAACTAATTGCCAAAGACTACAATGCACACCTTCTTGATGATAATACGGCAAATAGAACCATAGCAAAAATGGACAGAACGATCATTGGTGCTGTCTCCAAACCCATACGTCGAACTTCGGAAGACACCAACGAGTCACCGGTTACTTCACTCTAAATTTTATAATAAAGTGGATACGTCAGCGCTCAACCTTCATTATCTAAATTCTCACAGGATTATTTACGCTTTTATTTAACCGAAATTATACGGATAAGTCTAATGGCTAAGAAACGAGATGTCCTATATTTGATTTTGAAGCTACGGTAAAGGAACTTTCCGTTATTCGGTGGCTGGTTTTAAATTCATAGTCTAGGAGTTTCTCATAGATTTTAATATTCGATCTTTATCTTATCCCAATACCTTGAAGATTTGGAAACGCTCCTCTGAAAACATCTTGCGAGCGGCAAGCACCCATACGTAGGTGACATCCTTGTCCTCGTAAGAGCTTACCAAAAACAGTGGAAGAATTGCCGTAGTGAACGATTCGATAAGATGTGTTCCATTCTTAAACGTAACACCGTACACGTTGTTACCTAAAGTTAAAAAATGGTTAATAAAAATATTTAACGGTTCAAATCGTAATAGTTATTTTTACATTGTGGAACGACTATGAGACCGTATAGCGTATTGGTTATACGTGTCATACTGTACGCACATGATCATTGGTTCGACGCCGTGCCCTAGGCCCAGCAAGCCCTCAAACTCTCCGAGATTGGTAATTTATTGGTTCATATGTTTCTTGGAGACAGAAGCACTGATTTACACCGGTACACGCCTACAAGTCACTGTATAGCCTCAGCATGCAATAAATCACGATTTACAATGATAGAGCAAGCCGCATGCACATGAAGAATCCTTAAGCGAATGATCATTACAGAATGCCGTTTGTCTTATATTCCCGAGATGACTATGATAAATGTGTTTTGGGTTCTTCTTCACGAGTATCCGACAATGGATGCTAAGCGATTAGACGTAGGTTTACACCTTTGTGATTAGGAATATTTCGAAACGGAGCGATGATAGTGGCATTAACGATTCGTATCATAAGTTAGTTAACTGAACAAGTCAAATCCAAATCTCTTGTCGCATAAAACAACACAAACAAACGAAATCACAGAAGACTGTCATGGCTGATCATTACGACGAATAATAATGGAGCCAGTTGTTTATCTACAAAATCACAACTACAACAGCAATAAAGACTGACGGAAAGTTCGCCATTTAACACAGCCAAGTGTTGTAAACCATTCGAAATAAAATGCGAATTCAATGCCTAAAATTTGAGTACCTGACCGAAATCCTTAGAAATCGACCGCTTCTTTCAATGTGTAATAGTCTGTAATCTTCAGCAATATCAGTCATGGTCAACATCCTCCCAATGGTTTAAAGCTTCATTATGGCCAAGAGGTGTTCCTAGGTGTCGGTATACTATGTACAGAGGAGCGATTCATCCCCCAGCAGGCTCTCCCAGGTTAAGAATGAGTCCGATGTTTCCATCCCGCAGCTCAGCTAAGAGTGAACCAATAACAGAAATCATAATCATTACGGCATCAAACTCGGCGCATGGTGGCCAATCTCCCTTTGATCCACAAGAGCGGCGACTTACCTGGGGCGGTGATGACCTGAGGAAGGGTTCAGCCAAGCTGACCTCAGGACTGCAGGGAAACACCAATGGCTAACCAGTAAAGCTCCGAAGAATGGGAATTATGTTGGGAACCACACAAGCAGCAAAGACAGGCCATCCAAGTATCGAAGTGAGTAGTACGGCAAATTCCATCGTTATTATGAACAACACGTTAAGCTCAAGCAAACACATTTGTAAGCATCCACACATATTTTTAATAATGCATTCATTTACCTCATCTTCCTGCTTTTACGTTTTCTTTCTAGTTGAATAAGAAGAAAAGGATGACGAAGAAAACAACAACTTCGAGAAAAAAAAACAAGAAAACCAATCCGTACGACCAATTGAATATTGGAGATTTTCTCAGTGTATACGAACACATATCATTTGTGTGCTATTTAATAATTTTCTGCCATACTGAAGCGATTTATCAAATTTCTTTCGGCTTTTTCTGGAAGAGTAATAAAGCAAATCACAAAAAGTCGTCTGTTCGTTGAGTATTCAACATCACAGTTCGAACGTAAAGGTCACGATTGATTTTATGAAAGAAACTCATAGAACTAAAAAAATGCAATCCTTTGTGAAGCAAACAATTTTTGCTAAGATCAGCATCACACCTGACGAATTTGCTGTCCGAAGAGTAAATTTTCCAAGAGAACGAATAAAACAAAAATGGATCATTTTAGATTCTACGACCCCTTCAACAAACCATTGTGAACCGTAAGCGAAAACTCGGAAGAATTTCTAGTTTTAAGCTCTACCACACTAGATTCATTAAAAAACAGTCGAGTACTGACGGTAAACTAATACTTGATGAAGAGGGATAAGAAAATTACGCTACTTCGAGCTTGAATTTGAGGATCGCATGTCTCAAAAAGGAAAGGCACATCGCTGATATATAACGTAGAGAACGTTAGCGAATCGGAAGTATGGTATTGGTCATCAATCCATAACAGCAGTACAGTATCCGAAATTTTCAATCATACCAAAAATTCGAAAAACATGCTGTCAATCCTTATCAACGAACTGGTTTCACATATCACACGTTACCCATCGAATAGAAGATTGCAGTTCAGTGGAAACAATCAGAACTGCCTGGTTTAAAAAAAAGGATGGATCTAAACGAGATCAAGAGCCTGTGAATCACCTACAAGTCCTTTAGTCGAACCATCCTTAACAACACAGAGAGAACTGTGAACGAAGAGCGGTTATGCGAGCAAGCCGGGTTTCGAAAAGCATTCAGTACGATGTACGATCACATCTACCCGGTAGTGACTGAAGTGTACAGATTGAAGGAGATCGCTCTATCTCACTTTTATCAATATAAATAATGCCTTCCACTCTGTTGAAGTAAAAATGGTCATGGAAAGCTTTAAACAAGTAAGGCGTTAGTAAGTAGCAATTCTTCATTGGCTTTTGATTGAAAATGTTTTCGTGACTCAGTGTTTATTTGCGGAACATCAAAAGCTCTCATAAGCTCACAACCGATTCTGAATTACTACGCAGTAGTAGCTATATGCGAATACACTTAGAAACTTTCTCAATAAGGTTGGTTTCAGAATATTTTCAAAACCCTCGGACAATTTTGGAAAAACTTGACCTAATCTCCTATCAAGAAGACAAAAGATGCTCTTCAAAAGGAATATTACAGAGCCACATGAAATAACTGACACTCGGTCTCTTTCTATTCGTTTAACTAACGACCCCTTCTATACCACATTATTCCACAATCTATACTACGATGCGCAGCTATTTAAAACTCTCGATCACCATTGTATTAGTTTTAAGCTAGTAAAAGCCACTTTTTGGATACTAATTAACCAAACAGAAATTTTTTTACTCACCGATAAAGGTCTGTGTACCAAACATATCCACTTGCGGATATGTGAAAGTGGACGGCAACGATGAATTGTAGAGTTTGAGAAAGGCAAGAAATGCGGTGTTCAGCTCACAATATGGCTCACAGAGTTCACGGAATCCGTAACTCCGACCTCGGACGACAACGGTCACGTTGTCGCGTAGAGTTCCCATGAGCTCGATGAGGCGAGTGCGATGCTTCTCGCGCAGTAACGAACCACCGTCAGCCGCCTTTATCATTATGTAGGATGGATCCAGTGAGCCGTTCTGAAACTGTACACTACACGAACTTATCATTTATTTGGCTCGTTTTATCATTAAATCAATGGGAGTTGTTGGGTTCTCTGTTGTATGTAGGTGTATGTATGCAGATATGCATGCGTACGTGCTTATGTGCCCGTCTGTGGGAATGTCTATTAGTGCATACAGCAGAAAACCGAATTTCTCTAAAGGATATCATCCATGAAAAATAGAGGCAGTAACAAACTTATAAAATATAGGAACAATTGGGTTGGTAAGGAAACAGAATCGCAGTTTTCGGCTTCACATTTTGCTTTGATTAAAATACTTACTTGATACTTGAACGGCCCGCCCTCACTAGTTATGCGGGCCGCAGCATAATCACCATTTTCCGAAGATTTGCTGGCTAAGTCATTGTGGTTTCCTGGAATCCCGAGGACAGCCCGGCCAAAGTCTGCCCCAGGTCTTCACCACGACAAGCTGTCGCAGCTCTTGTGGATCAGAGGGCGATTTGCCACCATGCGACTTTGATACAAGGACGGTGTTGGATGTTGGTATTGGTATTGCTCTTGGCTAGGCTTCCTGATGGAAACGCCGGACTCTTTCTTAGCCTAGGAGACCTTGCCGTGGAGACGAATCCCACCGCTGTATATCGCAACAGTCCGACACCCGGGAACACCTCCCAGTCACGATGAGGCGGCAAACTGTTGGTATGTGATTACAATATTGTTGGCAATACTCTGTTCAAAAAAGGGAACATTTAGGAGTTTACCAAAAACCTACCAGTTTGGGTTGTTTAGCTCAAGCGAGAACAATAAGGCAACACATGTGCCTTGTTCTTTTTCAAATTTGCTCAAAGTTCATTCCTTGTCTTACGAAAACGATTGGAGTTTATAATCAGCAAAGCTTCCAGCTTGCTTTTTTTTGCTCAAGTCTGGAAATCCTACCTTTAATCGAATATAGAACATCCAGAAATGTCATGGCCAGTTTCGGGTAGAGCTTTTAAGCTTAGGCGTTTTAGTTAATTACGTCGTATGAATGAATTAATGTAAGTGAACTAATGAAAAACGTTGGGCCGTAGAGATTTTAAAGTGATATGCATTATTAAATAAGCATTACACCACCACGTATTAATGTGATTTTCAATTTGAACAGTTAGTTGGTAAGAAGACGGTATTGAAGCGTACCTGATTGAGAAACCCTTTAGCGATAGCGTATTCCTTTCGGCTAGGACTGTTTAACGGTGAGTATTCGGTACGAACGTTATTCACTTCTTCGAAGCGAATGAATCCAATACACATCAAAACACAAATCACCATACATAATAATATTGTTGTGAACGGATTCGTGCCAACCGTTCGACCTAACGACGAAAAGCTTCGAGCCATAAGTTGTTCACAAAATTTCGTAGATATCATATTGATATGGTAGTTTCGAATTTGAATAGCAGATACTGTATCGGGACTGATACGACAGAATACGGATGGTAAGTCGATCACAGTCGATGTAACAACTTTACAGACGTTGACGTTGACACACCTCCTGAAACGTACTCAGCACTAATCGTATGTTGGCGTGACTGATTGGTGTCATATAGTGTTTTATACGGACGACGAATTTCTTACGAATCATCAAACGTTCCATTGGACTTTATTAGATTGATGAGCAGCACTACAATATTTACTGAACCTGGTAACTACAGTGTCTAATCACTATCGGAAAGAAAGCCAAATCACAAGCAAATACAAGACGGATCTTGCCTTACAGATATTGGCAACAAACAGCAAACAAAATATAGTACGTCGTTCTTCTCGTTCCTGTGACAGTAGTTTTTAAGCGTTTGCAAGTTTGGAAAAAGAAAATCGGCCAACTTTCGAACTCTTGGGCATAGTAATTTGGTCAAGTATTGCATTGTAGACAAGTAAATGGATTTATCGACAAGTGTTAGGAGTATGGTTACCCGGAATACCTTAAGCAGACTGAAAAAAAATATCTGATATACGATACCTTAATAGATTAATGGTCCAAGTTTGCGAACAATTTTAAAACTATCAGCACATTTTCTACTACACGCTCATTTTTAACTGTTTTAGAGGAATTTCTTTTCACTGAGTTACTGAAAGACCAATCTTCCGTGAGTTTGCAATGTTGACCCACTAGCAATGGCCACCGTTATTGTACATCAGAAAAAAGTTCACCACTTTTTAAACTCCTTTTTGAAAGCGGCGGTGATTCTTAGTGTTAACTTAACCTTAGCTGAGTTTTCAAACAGGAATATCGCGATGTCAAATTTCTATACAGTTTCGAAAACATTTCCGAACAACGGACTTTGTCATGAAGCATCACTAGCTATGATGAGGTGGTATACCATTCTTAGAGTGTGAGAATGAGATGCTATGTAGTACGGAGACAATTTAAGTAAATAGAAGATTTTTTCGCCAAAGTGCGTCGAAGGAGTGAGGTAGAGATGTTACCGGTATTAGGGCCACTGATTGAGATCAATTCACATGACCGAATGCCTTTTAACCTCGACATTGAGCAGATAACCAATCAAAAATCCAAAAATGACCCATAACGCTTGTGATCACGCGTGACCTAGTGCCTTGCCTCAGACTAATTCTCTGGTGCGGGCCAACCCATTCCACATCCATGTAATATACAAGTCTCTGTGTTATTAGTCTTTACCGAATAACTGGAAGACTTACAAAGAACAAAATGGCGCGTGTGTAAAGCAAGCTTTTTGCTATGCGAAAAAAATTTACATATTGAATTTTCTGCTGGGGTTATGAAAGTGTTTTGCTGAGTAGTCCACGTGTCAATTTGACCCGTCTAGGCTCTGAAGAGAGCAGAACCGCTGATACAGCCACTATCTATACTAAGTAGATATTCATGTTAACAAACACCTCTCTGCTCATCAATAAAACAGCGAATGATTGAGATTAGCTGTAAAAAGCTGCAGTTGTGGCCACTCGAGATCTTTCGACGAATTTGTCATAATAGTCAGACTGAAATGAACCTATCCTACCATACTCAGGCACAGAATAGTGCTTAAAAGGATAAAAGTTGTTGATCCATAAGAGGACTAAACTCCAACCCTTAACAAATCCAATTTTTCCCATACAGGTAGCTTTTGTGACATTCCTCTTTCATAAATTCTAGAGATTGATTTGGATACTTGGACGACCCGTCCTCACTGGTTGTGTTCAAAGCACAACTGTTCAAAAATATATGGCATCATTTCTGATGGTCGTCGTCTTGTATTTTTTCAGAATAGAGAAACTTTATAAGATCTGTATTTAAAGCAATAGTGTTATTATGAGAACAAAAACTGAAATCTGTACTTCTTCGTATTTTTGTTGAGCAAACGCGAGGTGTTATTATTCTTTATTCACGAATGAGCTGACGTTTCGGCGGATTTCGCCTTCCTCAGAGCCGCTTTCTATGAGGTCTCCACTAAGTATGTCACGTAGAGACCAACCGCACAGAAATCACGTGGAAGTATAAGTACATTATAGTATAAGTAAGTATAAGTATATAAGTATAAGTACATTATACTTCCATGTGATTTCTGTGCGGTTGGTCTCTACGTGACATACTTAGTGGAGACCTCATAGAAAGCGGCTCTGAGGAAGGCGAAATCCGCCGAAACGTCAGCTCATTCGTGAATAAAGAATAATAACACCTCGCGTTTGCTCAACAAAAATACGAAGAATTACTTGATCAATGCCGAGGTTAATAGAAAGTCGGTCGTGGGAGCTACTGAAATCTGTACTATATACTACTGAAGTTTCAAATTATAAGAAATCAACGTCGGAGGTAGGCGAATAGTTCACTAGTTTTGAGTGCAATCACAGAACTATGACCTCGGTTTCGATTCATCATGGAAAAAACCCAAAAACCGCCATATCTTGGGAAGAACAGCTGATACCCTGATTTTTACTCTTTTCTTCATAAGAAAAAATTAATGTCCACTGGCTTCGTAAGAAATTAATAAGCCTTTTCATGAGTGAGGTTAGTATTCACGAGTACGATGATAGTCCACGAACGGACCACGATTGTAGTAGTAGTCTCACTCTGTTCGATTCATGAGCACCAACAACCTCTTGAACGACCACTGTACTTTTTGTATGTAAAAGAACGGAGAAAAATCAAGTTAGTTAGAACTTGATTTAAGAACTGTACTTTTTCGGGAAGTTAATGGAATTGTTGATGTTTGATGTGCTCACGATGAGTGGATGAATAACTAGCATTCCTTCAACGTCATCATTCACCAATAGGACATAATTGCTGTACTGCATCAAAAATCTTTATCTAATTGTAAACAAGAATTGCGAATGAAAACCAACACTTCCTTTCCCATTATTCCATCTGTTTTACGTCTATTATCCCATAAATATATAATATACTACACTATAAACTACAACTATTGTGGCTTTCGTAGCTCTTTGCAAACCATGTAACAAAAAGCTAACCTGTTTTTGCCTAAAATGCTTTCTGATTACCCTTATATGGGCGCCTGGTATGATATACACAAAACCCTGTTTGACTCTTTAAAGTGCTAAATGAAGAGTTAAATGATAACTGATACATTTGGTCGACGTGCGATCATTAGTGATAATGTTCTGTAAAAGAACCAAATTGAATAGAAAACAACAGCGCTATATGAGTAGTGCATATAGCTCAGTGGTTAAGAGATGTATTGTAATACAAATATACAGGTGGCCACTAGTTCGATCCCGAGCCAATCCTTGGCACACCATAGTTTCCATGCACACGAGGTCGGTAAATTGCTACGAGACTTATCCCGGAAGGTAAAACAATGACTTGATGCAACAGTAGGCAATAGGTGAAATATGTATTTAATGGGGAGAACGATGCTATGAATTGATTTGAATGCATATTTCAGTGGAATTGGTCGGCGCTAAATGCTTTGTTCCTGTTTTAACATCAAATTAAATAATATATTCTTGATATTTGATACTTGAACGGCCCGTCATCACTAGTTGTGTGGGCCCCAGCATAATCACATTTTTTGGGAGATTTGCTAACTAAGCCATTGTGGTTCTCTGGAATCCCGAGGACAGCCTGGCCAAAGTCTACCCCAGGTCGTCATCACGACAGGCAGTCGCCGCCCTTGTGGATCTGAGGGAGATTTGCCATCATGCCACTTTGATACCAGGACGGTGGTGGATCCTGGAATTTGTTCACTCTTAGCTAGGCTTGCTGTTGAAAACGCCGGACTCCTTCTCAGCCTTGGAGACCCTGCCGGGAGACGAATTTCCTCGCTTTACATCGCAGTCCGACACCCAGGGACATCTCCCAGCCACAATGAGGCGGTAAACCGTTGAGAGGAATTATATATTCTGTAAGACAAATACAGCACAAATTCGTTTAGCTGTTTTCAGAGACAGGTATCGAAACCATCAGTTAAGATATTGGAAAACTATTGAAGTGGTAATAATCAATGCCTATAAGACCTTTTTTCAGCGTAGTATTCGAAATGACAAACTAACATCTGGTTGACCATCTTTTTCAACACAACAAATTCTAACTCAGTGAATGAAACTACTTAACTGGAACAATTGGGCAAGTTCAATGCACAGTTAACTTCGGTGAAGTGAGCCGTTTGACTTCAGCTGAACAACTACAGAAAGAAACGCCCAGCTATGCCTGACCACCCTGTTTTACCACTAATGCATAAAATACATTTGGAAAAGGTCGTTTAATTCAACTTCAATTACAAGGAAAATTTTCTATGAAAGTCTTTAACTGCAACACAAAGTCATTAAATGTGGGTAATAAATCCTAATTATAGTAGTTGGCGTTGTTCGAATCCCAGTATTTAGGGAGCTGATCTACAGTCACTTCAGGATTAGAATTTCACGAAGATAATTTTGACGTGTGAAAGACGTAGTAGAAGAGGCAAAAATTGATTCCAGTTGCTCCTAGAGAAATGCGTCTATATGAGTAAAATTAGAGGAACGGATCCAAATATAAGTGCATTCTTTAAATAGAACCGTCAATTAAAATGCAGTACCACGTATAACACTTAGTTATCAGAATTTTCTTGATGATAGTGAAGGTGTAGAAGATGATTGGTATAGAATGAGACGCCCTGAAAACCCATATAAGGATTCTGATTGAAACCAACAATCTTAAAACTCAGTTCGAAAACTGGATGTTCATGTGTAGGTCGTATCTAACTCGTTAAAGAATCCTAGCAAGTTATAGCAAGTTAGTTGCAATGTTACGGGGTGGGGCCCATGGTAGCGCACATGGGGTTAAATGCTCACCAAAAGCGACCTTGGGACGCAGTTGCATTAAGAGAATGGATTCTTTCTTTCCGATTTCACACATAACTTCTACATCTGCTCAAGGATGTTTATGAAGACACATGTTAGCGTATACGCAGATTGTA